AAAAAAGAATGTCAGTATCCAAAACCAGGTTAAGATATAGACTACAAAAAATACATGTTTAAAATCTAAAATTGTCATAAAATCCATGTATCGATATAACTCATGGAACACTTATGGATCTTCTTTTTTAACTATTACTCTGACAGCTTTCAAAAAACTGCCCCTGGGGAAAATAATATAATATATATATATATATATATTTTTTTTTTTAAATGTGCTGTATAGGAAGAAGATAATATCAATTTACTTATGTTTTCAAAGACTCAATTCCATTAATTACACATGCGAATCTATGTCTTCTCATGTGTTATAATGGTGGTTCCTGAAGAGAGCAGAAGGCATTCATGTTCCAGAGGAACATAGAACCATATGCTTATCCAGTAACTAGTTATGCAGAATGGGTTTAGAATCTACCAAGGGCATTAACTGGAAAGTCTCTCCTAAAGAACCCTTAGTGATTTGTAAATCCAATGCTAATCTTAAGCCATAAAGAGTGTTTTTTCTTATATTTCTTTTTTATTTTTTCTGTTCAAAACATTTATACAAAAAGAAATCATTACCTTGTAACAAACTACTAAAATTCAAATGTACTGCAATGTAAGTTATATTAGGGAAAGAATGGTAGCCACCAATATAATTCTTAGAGTATCTTAATACTAACTATATCACATAAACCATTAATAACAGATTTCAAAATTTTATACTCTGTAATTTAATGTGTTATTTTTGTTTTAATCATCCTTTAAGTAGGTTAGAGGAAGAAATATGTACTGTAAATGTAGTTTCTCTTCCTTTTGGTGGGGGGAGGAGGGTAGACTAGAAACTAGAGAATGGAGAAGATTAAGTTTCAACAACAAAACAACTGAACCAATCCCACAACTAAAGTCAACACTAGTTAGCAACATTTCAAAGCACCAAAGAGGGACCATTAAAAAAATAAATACTACTGCATTAATAACAGCTTTCCTTTTAGGCAATCTATATCACTCTAGATTCAGGATTTGTCCTATTCCAAAATGCTTTAAGTTTCTGGTATGATTCTAAATCTTTAAAGTCTCAGCCCCTCCCAACCCCAAAAGTTTACTTTTTTTTTTTTTTAATAAAAAAGTAGTTTTAAAGATATCTTTTTTTTTTCCTTTTCCACAAATATCAAGTATGTTTTTCCTGTACTTGGGGGAATCAGAGAGAATGGACATGTAGTCTCAAATTTAACAGAAATGAATTTAAGGAATCGCAGGTCTATGGTATAAACTTTAAGTTCTGCAGCTTCTTTATAGTCACCCAGATCTGTCCAATAGCACTTTCTAAGATGATGGGCATGTCAGTGCCATCCAACATGGCAGCTCCTGTCAACGTGGTTATTGATCACTTGAAATGTATCTAGTGTGACTGAGGGACACAATTTTAAATTTAATTTAATTCACTTAAATAGCTGTATGTGACTCAGGAGAACACAGATCTGGAATGTTCTTCAACCTCAGTATTTCTACTAATCCTCTTTACAATAAATATATACATGCAAGTTAATACTAACTCAATTCACCAAAGTGCCACAGACTGAATACTGTGAATTAAAAGACGGGAAGGGAAGTATTTCTCAAGACATAAACACATCCTCTAGTCCAAACCAAGAAACAAAACAATACAGTATAAAAATATTACCTTTTCTCCATGCTTTACAGTATGAAGTAGAAGCTGGCCAATAACTTTCTTAGTTTCCTTTCTATGGCTCTTGGAGAGAAAATTATTATTATTATTAATAAATTAATAATAAAATATCATTATTATTGTTGAAATTTTCAAATTAAATCACTATTTTATAAAAAATTATATGCAAGCATATAGAAAAAATTTCATTAAAGTCATTTTTTAATTTTATATTACAATGAAAATAACTAAAAATACCTTCATCACCATTTTAAGTCTTAATATATACAAGAGTCATATAACTTAAAAGCTATTTGACTGACAAAACTTATTTTCAATTCTATATCTGAAGAAGAAATCAACTTTTTTAGTCTGTATGTAGTGCTGTGGAGATGAAACTCAGGGCCTCAGATATGCTAAACATGTGATCTACCACTGACCTACATACACCTCAGCCACAGAAACCAATTCTATGTCTAAATATCAGCAAGAAAGAAATAGGCTGGGGATGGAGGTACCATATGCTCACTGTCAGCCATCCCCCTTTATGGTACTAGGGATTGAACCCAGGGTTGCTTAACCTCTGCCCTTTTTATTTTTTATTGAGACAGGGGTTTGCTAAGTTGCTTAGGCTGGCTTTGAACTTGCAATCCTCCTGCCTCAGCCTCCCAAGCCTTTGGGATTACAGGTGTTCACCACCATGCCCAGGATCAAGGAACTTAAAAACAAAGAGCCCTTCCTATGTCATCAGTCAGGAAGGCCAACTTTGCATAGGCACAGATCCTGCTACTGGAAGCCTCTGGCTCTTCATCAGCCCTCATCTCTGCTGTTACTGAGATAGGGTCTCTCTGAAGGGAAATAGCTTGACAGCTGCTCCACAGTGGAGACAGGGATGCTCGTTCCCTGTCTTTAGGCCAGCTCAGAAACCCAGGTTATGAGAGCAGGTTCTCTACATCTGGTACCTTTGTGCCATTGCTCTCTGTCTGGAAAAGGACAGATGATATGTGCAGGAACTGAATGTGCAAAAAGTGTCCTAAACTTAAAAAATAGTTTTTAATCTTCCACAAGATAGAAAATTTAATGCATTCTAATTAGAAAGTTAGTTTCAAAAAGTCATATGAATACTTATATGAGTGAGAAGGAAATAAAGAATATGGTCAAATATAACTTAAAGCAATATATATCTTTTCAAAAGTAAAAATAAAATTATCCATAATTACCTGACTTCCAAACTGCGAGCCAGTATACAGGAAACGTTGTATATAGTAAAATATTAGCCAGGCTAAGGAGATAATCATCATAGTGATGAAGGCAATGGCCACAAACACCACAGACTGACCGCTGATGAACTCCTGCATATGACGGGTGCCAATCCCTATGGTCACTTTTACTGGAATTCCTTTTTGTACCACATCTAAAATTTCTCTTCCTTTTAGATAGCTAACCATAATGACCACTATACTTCCTGTTCCTGTAGGAAGGATCAAAGAAATCAATGTAAGACAAAAGAAAGCTATGTTCATCAACACACATTTGAAAACTTCAAAAAAAAATTGAAAACTTTTCAAGGAAAACATCAGTTATCAAAATTGATTCTAAAAGAGAAAATAGACTGATCTCATGAGGAAAAGTAGAATCAATCACCAAGAAGTACCTTCCCAAAAGCCAGGATACCCTTCATTTTCTTGGGTGACATCTATACCACCAAACCTTTAAGGTTAAGTACTGCTGATGATATTTAAATTGTCCCACAGCTGACTGTAAGGGGACAAAGGAAGTTTTAAAATTATTTCTAAGATTATAAACTCAAACATAGAATAAAAGGCAAAAGAACCAGCCTGACTAATTTTACTTGCATATAATAATATATAATACCTGAAACATACCAATTAAAATCAGGGAGGCAATATGAGAATTTCACTATGATCACTATTATTTAACATTGCTCTGAAGGCACAAGCAACCATGAGATTTAAAAAAATAAAGAGAAAAGGGGCAAAATAATCAACATAAACCTAGCTATAAATGAATATAACAATGATTAAATATAAATAGGATTAAAGAAAAACATTAATATTCTACTTCTAAAGTCATTTAGGGAAAAAAATAATCAGGAATGGATCAGGCAAACTTTTATATACATATATATATATATATATATATATATATTTTTTTTTTGTTATAGTTGGACACAATACCTTTATTTTATGTATTTATT